ACTTGTACATGATCCTATAGCAGCAGCTAGCAGGTCAAAACTGCAAGAGAAGTACCTGATTGGCCCACTCAATTTGTCTTCTCTCACTAAGTGTTAGGTGTGGATGGGCCTTGAATCAGGACAGGATCCTGGGCTAATCTGAGGGCCACTTTGTATCATTAGTCATAATAGCCAGAAAGTGGAAAGAAATGCCTGTCAATGAATAGACAAAACAAAATATATATGGTATACCCACCCAAGGGAATATTATTCAGCCATAAGAAGGACTGAAGGATTGCTGTACACAACAACTTGAATGAGCCTTGCAACATTGTTAAATGAAAGTAGCCAGACACAAAAGGCCCATATTATATTAGTTCCACTTTTTCTTTAGCTTCAGAAAGTGACATTTATTCAAAGGAAAATTGAAGTGTCCATCCCTTGGCTCCCTCCCCTTCTCCATCTGCTCCTAGCCCTTCAGGATTGAACCTTCACCTGGAATAGGTAACAGCCCTCTCAGATGAGGACAGTAGTACTGAGTGGCATCTCCTCAGTAGAGGTATTGTGGAAGGTCTTGATTGCTGAGGGCCATTGCCAAGTAGGAATGACGCATCAAAATTTCCTTGCCATCGTACCCCATGTTAAATGGACTTGCCTTGGAAATTCGATATGACATTGCATGTGTGTTTGAGAAAGGTGACCCTGCTCAAGGACGAGGGTGGATCCAGGTTTAGGGTATATCCTGCAGGTTTTAGGAAGTATCCCGGTTTAGGATAATTTGGGTTTAAGGCGTTCCCGGTTTAAGACAATCTGGGTTTAAGGCAGTTCGAGGTTGAAGGTTATTCCTGCTGGGAATAGGGCGTTCCTGCTGGGAATAGGGTGTTCCTGCTGCCTGAGTTCCCGTTGAGTTCTCGTGGAATTGAAAAAGTATTTGGGATGTGAATTGTGCGGGAGTAGAGGCCAGTGTGAGTTCGGGAATAAAGAATTGCTGTTTGAATCTACAAACGTGTGTAGAGGCTGGTGTGAGTTCGGGAATAAAGAATTGCTGTTTGAATCTACAAAGCTGTGAGTGGCTCGTGATTCTGTGCCCAGCCAAGACATTGGCACTTGATATCTTGAAGGGTCCTCTTGCTATCTTCTGTCACCACACCCTTGCAGTCAAAAGGTCTTCTACAGTGGACTCTGTGGCTTCAGTTTTACCTTTTTTTTTGGGGGGGGATTGTTACTGGGGATTGACCCAGAGGCACTTGACAACTGAGACACATCCCCAGCACTTTTTATATTTTATTTTGAGACAGGATCTCACCGAGTTGCTTAGGGCTTCGCTAAGTTGCTGAGGCTGGCTTTGAACTTGCAATGTTCCTGCCTCAGTCTCCCAAGCAGCTGGGATTACAGGTATGTGCCATCATGCCCCATATGCAATTTCTCTCTTAATGTTGATGACCATGGCTGCCTGGGAGATGGTCAGGGTTCCATGCTAGTCAAATGGTGTGTCCAGCTTCCTCTCTCTCATTCCACGTAGAATTGGCAGATACATCTTCTTGTCAAGAACATGAATGAGTTTCCTCCTGAACTTCCTGGTTACCTTCAGCAATCACAGGGCATTGTGACTGACAACAAAACCACCTGGGTAGTGATGTCAAGCTTTTGAAATATGTCATAAATCTGGTCCTTAAATCCATGGCTTAACATTTCCTCAATTTCATCCAGTACAAACATCTTGATGTATTTGGGAGACAAGTATCTCCAGTTAAGCATGTCAAACATTTGGTCAAGGGTACCCACGAGGATGCAGGGAGCATCCATCTGCAGCTTCAGCACCTCAGCACACATGTTGGTGCCCTCAATGCAAGGATGACAGGGGGCACCCATGTGATCTTCTAATGCCACCACCGCCTTCTGTGTCTGCTAAGCCAACTCTTAAGCAGGTGTCAGGACAAAGACTTGGTTGGCCTTAAGATTCAACTCACTCTGTTACAGAAATGATTTGGCAAATGTGCCATTTTTCTGATTCCAAATTGGGTCTGAGCAATCACATCAGTACCCTTGCTATGAGGAAGAATTGTTCAGTGCTGCTTGGCAGAGGCCTTCTCAAAACCTTATGTATAGATGCCATGGATCAAAACCTTAGGTGTAGATGCCATGGTAGAGGGTCTCCAAGAGGTTCATATCATTGAAGCTGTTGACAATCTCATTGCAGTTCTTCCTGATGATGCCTTTGGGCTCCATTCCCTACAGGCCATTGTTTCTGGATTAGGAATCCTGACTCATAAGCATGATCTTTAAAAGTTCTGTATAGTTTCATTTATATGAAATGCCCAGAATTGCCAAATTTATAGAGACAGAAAACAGATTAATGGCTGCAGGGAGACAAGTGGGGGTGGGGGGTTGGAGATATGGGATTTCTTTTTAGGGTGATGGAAACCTTCAGCAATTGGATTAATACTGATAATAGCACAATCTTGCACAAATTTATTTATTTATTTATTTATTTATTGCAGTGTGCCCAGGGCCTCATGCATGTTAGGCAAGTAAATGCTCTGCCACTGGGCTGCACATACACTGAGCTCAACCCCAACATTGGGAATATACTAAAAACTATTGGAATGTACATTTTTAAATAACTAAAATGGTGAATTTTACTTGAAGTGAATTATATCTCAATAAGAAAAATTTTAAGAGGGAAAATGGCCTTTAAAGATCAAGTAATTGAGGAGCCCTGCAGAACACTGAAGAAATCCTGGTGGGTTTCTGTTATTGTTGTTGTTGTGTTGTTTTGCTTTGTTTTCTAGTTGACTCTTCTTCAGAGAAAGCCCATGTTTGACAGCTAGCAGGTCAAAACTGCAAGAGAAGAACCTGATTGGCCCACTCAGTTTGTCTTCTCTCACTAAATCTTAGATGTGGATGGGCCTTGAGTTAGGGCACAACCCTGGGCTAATCTGAGGGCCACTTTGTATGGATAATGGCCACTTGGGGACTTTGGGAAGGGCAGAAGCACCCATCAGAGCTAAAGCCCTCCTCTAACGGATACTCTGCCATTTCTGCCTTCCTCATCCAGTGTCTGTCCTGAAGTGTCTCTGGTCCAGCAGCCAGCACTGAGTCTCAGTCAGCCACTGTCCCTTCCTGCCTCCTCCTGYTCTCTAACCCCACTTCCCTCCCTTAGGAGATCCTTCTGTACTTGAGGAAGTTTGGGGGAAGTCCTCAGCACCCTGTTATCTGCTCCAAGGAAATCTAAAGTTCAGGCATTTAAACTCAAGGCCTCTCACTGAGTTAGAGATCAATGACCCAGGGAACATTCTTGTGGAATGGTTTGAGGAAGCTGAGTCAGTTTGTTCTTTGTCAGGGTGGGGCTGAGGTCATTAACCTTCTTCAAACAGTGTCCTTGTCTTCTTTTTCCTGCTCTTACCTCCACCTCAGGAGGTGACAGGGCCCCTGAGACTCCTGAATCACTACCCTGTCTTGTCCCAAGCATTGTACTTCAGGAGGAGGGTAAAACTAGAAGACTCTGCTTGACCCTCAAGAGATAATTTGAGGTGTTTGAGACAGGGGTAGGAAGTCTTCTTGGTATCATGTCCATAATTACTTCCTGTGGTTGCATCTGTCTTCCCCAACGGACTCCTTTAACCCCCTTATGGGCCATTTTCTCATGATCTTCCCCTGAACCTCTGTCTCCACACCTGTGGCTCTCTAACCTGGTTTCTTCCCCTCTCTTGACCTCAACTTCCTTATCTGTAAAATGGGAGTAGATATAGCATTTACTTTATAAGAGTGGTTGTAAGGTTTAGATAAGGCGCATGCTGCATTTCCCACAGCATCGGGCAAGCCATGCGTGCTCAGAAGACATTGGCTGCTGCTGTTCTAATGTTATTATTGTATCCATTATACAACTAAAATCCAAGGAGCACTTATTATGTGTCAGGCTTYATGCCAGAAACCTAGTGGGTGCATAACATTGTTTGGTCTCAAAGGGATTTAAATCTATTTGGAGAAAGAATCTATTTTACATCAATCAGTAAAATAGTTGATAAACATAATCTGGTCATTTTTCAAAGCCTGTCAAAATGCTCAGAAATCTTAATTTGCAACTTGCTGTACTGCGGTTTGAATCCAGGGCACTCTATCACTGAGCTATGTCCCCAGCCCTTTTTATTTTGAGACTCACTAAGTTGCCAAGTCTGGCCTTGAACTAGAAACACCAGGCTGCACTTATGATATATATATATATTTTTTAGTTGTAGTTGGACACAATACCTTTATTTTATTTATTTATTTTATGTGGTGCTGAGGATCAAACCCAGTGCCTCACACATTCCAAATAAGTGCTCTACCACTGAGCCACAACCCTAGCCCCACTTCTTATGTTTAAATGCAGCCCCTCACTCTTGCCTGCATATTCAGGCCCAGCTGTTTGGCTGGATAAACCCATCATCAACAATGCCAGGGACTGAGCTTGAAGAAATCTTTATGGTTTCTTCACACTTTTCCAGACAGTCCTCCTCTTCCCATGCCAGGCCAACAGCATCTGACACAGCTATTGGCTTAGTGAGCTCTGTCCCTAAGTTTCCCATCTTCAGGTGACCAGGAGATTTTCAGGGACGAGTAAGGATTTTGTCCCCAACTTGGGCCTGGGCAGGAGGACTTTTGTCTTGGGACCAGCCAGTTCTAAAAGCTCTTTAAGGGAGRATGTAGGATGGGGGTTGGGGGGTGAGCAAGAGGTAGCTAAAGGCATCAGTCTGAGGAAGGGAGGAGAGACCACACCTAAGGATAGGGAGGAGTCCAGGAACTCAGCCAGTTAGAGGATCAAATTCCTCCAGGGTGGACTTAGATAGGAGGTTGGCACTAGGAGCTGAGAGACTCAGAAGGCAAGATCCGATTCCACCTGCCCTCCACCCTGGTTCTTGGAGAAAGCCTGCACCGCAGTGCCAGGCAGGAGTCACCCCTCTCTGTGCCCCCAACCTGTGGGCCCTGCCTGTCCTCCCACTCCTTCAGTGACTACAGGAGAGTGGAAGAGAAAAGGGATGATGGAGCCAGACAGGACTCAGATAAAACTTGACCCTAGGTAAGTGAAGCTGGCAGACCCTGGGCGGGGAGCCAGCTGCTAATCAGCAGTATTTCCTGTTGCTCTGACCTGTCCCTCTCTTCCTCCCAGAGCCCTTTGATTCCCTGCATAAAGAACTAAAATGCTCTGATTGTCCCCTGGATCCTCAGAGAAATTGTGGGACCACTTTAGGGACTTTCCTCCACAACCTGGGCAGAGAAAGATCTCAGAGATGGGAGCTTGCACCGASCCCTGACCAACAGGGGACCCATCCCTGGTGCTAAGAATCCATTCTTTCTCTGGGACCCTGCTCTTTCTTCTTGGGTTGCTGCCCTCTTGGGTGTTAAAAGAATTGTGGGCTCCTTGGGCATTGCAGCCAGACCTGCCTGTAGCTAATTGGCAGCTCACCCTCCACCCTAACCAGCCAGTTCCCCTCTCCAAGAAACAGGACCTTGAGGGGGAAATGAACAAACCCCCTGTGGGGAGGGGCGCAGGAGAAGTATCAGGTAATAGGGTTACATGCTGCTTGTGAAGGTCACACATCCTTCTCTAGACCCAGTGGTTCCAAACACAAGCTGGTGTCTCTCTAGGTACACAGAAGATCTTCTGGAGGTGCTGAGAACCAACTATGGCATCCCTTCAGACTGCTTCTCCCACCCCCCCACTGCAACCCAGCTCCTGAGAGGTGAGTCAGGGCCCTCCCCAGAAGGCACTGAAGAGAGGAGATACACATCCCTCTCKGGACAGATGGGGGAGCAAAAGAGAAGGGGTCCTGAGCTGGCCAGCCTGATCAGCTTTGGGGAATGACTGGCATGGTATTTATAGTAACTAATATCCTGGAGAAGGGCAATTCCCTGAGGAGTCAGCAGGCCCAAAGTGGGGCATGACAACCTAGCCCAGGAGTCAAACCTGAGGTGGGCCCTCCACAGATCCTAGCCTCAAGGCATATTCAAATTGTGGACACTGGAACATGGAGCATTTTCTAGATTCCAGGGCTTTCAAGGGCCTCAAGATGGTGTCCAAATGATCCAAGTACCCTAGAGGCAGGCTGCATAACATCCTCTCAGAAAAGAGTACATAGCACTTAGAGGGGAAGCTACTTTGAGTAATGACCTCAACTTAAATGAATCTATAAAAGTGTTCTCTCAGGCCAGGTGCAGTGGAGCAYGCCTGTAATCCCAGTCACTCAAGAGGCTGAAGCAGGATGATCACAAGTTTGAAGCCAGTCTTGGCAAATTAGTGAGACCCTGTCTCAAAAATAAATAAAAAGGGCTAGGTTGCAGCTCCGTGGGATAGCACCCCTGGGGTCAATTTCCACTATGAAAGAAAGAAAAGAGAGTTCTCAAAGTATTGGCCATTTAGATRGGTATTGCTCAATTGCTTTTGAAAGTGAAAGGCAGGGGCTAGGGCTGTAGCTCAGTGGTAGAGTGCTCTCCTAGCATGTGTGAGGCACTGGGTTCAATCCTCAGCACCACATAAAAGTAAATAAACAAAAATAATAGCACATGGTGGGCTGGGATTGTGGCTTAGCAGTAGATTGCTCACCTAGCATGGGCAGGACCCGGGTTCAATTCTCAGCACCAGATAAAAATAAAGGCATTGTGTTGAGTCCATCTACACCTAAAAACTAAACATTTTTTAAAAAGAGTTTAAAAAATAATAATAATAGCACATGGAGTTAAAAAAAAGAAGGAAGAAAGAAAGAAAGTGAAATGCATAGAATATGACTTGGTTCATTCCCTAGACACAAAAAAACACTGAGAATCAAATGGCTCTGCATCTTTCTAACAAATGTGACTTACACACACACACATCTTGTTTTGTTATCTTGCTGCATGATAAACCACCTCTAAGATGTTGAATAGGAATCATGTTGCTGTGGTACACTTAATGCTTTCCTGAGCCTCCTTCCAGATGTTGACACTGTGCAGAATAGACTTCCTGAGCAACAGGGTGCTTGCTGTCAGTGTGTTTGGGGAGGTAGATGTGGGCATGTCCCTGAGCTATGCACAACTCTCCTTCAGATGCTCTGAACCAGAGTGTTGCCAACTGCCAAAGTGTCCAGAGATGCCTGGTGGTGCTCAGTGGTTAGTGCCAACAGTTGACAGCTACAATCATTTTTCAGGAAGCTTCTGTTTTAAGAGTGCAGCAGGAGACACAAATTTTCCTCATGTGAGACCTCAGGCCAGCAGACATTTGGCAATATCTGGAGACAGTTTTGACTGCCACACCAGAGAATACCATCCAGTAGGTAGATGCCAGGGAGGCTGTCACACCTACCTCCTAACAGTGCAGAGGACAGCCCTCCACAACAAAGAATTATCTAGGCCAAAGCCTCAGGTTGAGAAATCTCGCTTAACATAACAAAATAGTTCTTACACTGCTTAGCTAAAAAAATTGTAAACAGAAACACCAAAGATGATCAACACAAGTTGACCATTGTGGTCTGGGAGCTGAGCAAGCTSCCTTGATCCAGGTGGAACAGGTGGGATCTGGGATGTGAAGAGCAGGCACTGGGCATTCCTGGAGCAGGGATGGGGACAGAATGAATTGGCAGGCTTCCCAGATACTGCAGGGAACTGTATCTGGCAGAATTCAAGGTTACTGGTGGAGGAGGAGAAGACAATTGAGAGGGTYGGGCAGGTAAGGTGGGGCCTGATGAGCATCAGATCCAGGAGTTGTACTTTATTCTGTGGGCAGAAGCAGCTGGTGAGGGCTGTGGTGTTGGGAGGGGATGGATGAAACAGTGATTTAGGACCGTTAATCAGTAATCAGGATGAACTGCGGGGGTCGGGGGGGAAGAGCCTTGAGCAGCAGGGATATAAATGAGAGGTTACTGTCCTCAATTAGTGTGATAGAAGAGTCTGAGTCACAGAAGTGTTGGGAAAGGAAAGGAAGGGTTGGGGAATGCAGAAGGAGCAGGTGATCTGGTAAATATTTAGACAGGTAAATGTAGGTTCAAGGCAATGGCAGTGAAAGAAAAGGAGAACCAGAGGCTGGAGAATGTGGTAAATAAACCCTTTCCTCACTCCTTTGGTAAACGCTGTTGTTTCTTAAATAGTTTGTTTGTTTGTTTTGTTTTTGTTTTTGTACTGGGGATTGAATCTAGGGGTGCTTAACCACTGAGCCACTCCCCTAGCCCCCTTTTAAAATATTTTGTTTAGAGTCAGGGTCTCCCTGAGTTGCTTAGAACCTTGATAAATTCCTGAGACTGGCTTTGAACTCATGATCCTCCTGCCTCAGCCTCCTAAGCTGTTGGAATCACAKGTGTGCGTCACCATGTCCTGCTCTTAGTTATATAAGAAAAAGTATTCCAGAAGAACTATTAAATCTTTCAATAATTGGCATTTCAAACGCTAATGATTTGATTGTGATTATAATCCTTACTTTTTTTTAATGGATTGATTTGAAAATTTATATAAAAGAGTCGAGAAAGCCAAGACAATTTGGAAAAGTGTATGGAGGAAAGCCACCCTACCAGAGATTAAGGGTTATAATAAAGCTGTAGTAATTAAAGCAATAAGGCAATAATGGCAAAGGGCCAGAGATAAAGCAAAGCAACAGAATGGAGGTCCGGAAATCAGCTATTCCTCCTTAGATGGTCACCATATGAGTGGATGCTCCCTTGGGCCAGATAGACTTTTAAGAAGAGGTGCTGGGCAATAGCCCATAGGAAACTAGCTCTAGAGTAGCTTTAATTCAGATAGATTAAGTACTTAAGTGTAAAATGCAAACATTTTTACAAAAATAATATAGAAAGACATTTTTTATGTTTGACAATAGAGAATAATTTCTTAAAACAAGAAAGCACAAATGATCATGAAGATAAAAAAAACTATTTAACTAAAAGTGCTGTTGAAAGTTAAACCACAGAATGGGGAAGATAAAATGCTTTCAAACCTCTAATGGACAAAGGATTCGCATAGTCAGTGTGAGGAAAGTTAGCCAATCAAAATTGGATAAAATAGCTGGGCAAGGTAGCACATGCCTGTAATCCCAGCAATTTGGGAGGCTGAGGCGGGAGGATCTCAAGTCCAAGGCCAGCTTCAGCAAATTAGGAAGGCCTTAAGCAACTTAGTGAGACCCTGTCTCAAATTTAAAAAATAAAAAAGGGAGTTTAGRGATGTGGCTCAGTGGTAAAGCACCCCCAGGTTCAATCCYCAGTACCCTCCCCCCAAATGGATAAATACATATGAACAGACGAATCTTAGAAGATGAAACCCAAATGGCTAATAAATGTGCAAAAAAGCTCTCCTTTGCTAGTAATCAGGGAACTACAATTAAACAATGAAATATCATTTCATCGCTATTACTCTGGGAAAAAAGTCTGTACCTTATGTACATACATGACTGCATGATCAATGTGATTCAACAACATTTACAATCAGAAAAATGAGAAATCATACTCCATTTATGTATAATGTATCAAAGTGCATATATATATTCTACTGTCATGCATAAYTTACTAGAATAAATTTTTTAAAAAATTTAAATGTCTGATAGGTGATAAAAAACAGAATACAAAATATTTTATATAGTACAATAGCTGTAATTTTATRTAATACAGTGATTATAATAAAACATGTAGAAGTCAGGCGCAGTGGYGCATGCGTATAATCCCAGCAGTTCAAGAGGCTGAGGTAGGAGGATTGTAAGTTCAAAGTCAGCCTCAGCAACCTAGTGAGGCCATAAGAAACMTATCAAGACCCTGTCTCTAAATAACATAAAAAAGTGCTGGGGATGTGGCTCAGTGGTTAAGCGCCTCTGGTTCCAATCCCTAGTACCAATAATAATAACAACAACAACAACAACAACATGTAGGCCCTTTAATCAGATGCTGGGTTTTTGTTGTTGTTGTTGTTTTTTATTGGTTGTTCACAACATTACAAAGCTCTCGACATATCATATTTCATACATTAGATTGAAGGGGGTTATGAACTCCCAATTTTTGTTGTTGTTTTATACCAGGGATCAAACCCAGGGTGCTTAACCACTGAGCAACATCCCCAGCTTTATTTAATTTTTTATTTTGAGACAGGGTCTCGCTAAGTTTCTGAGACTGGTTTTGAACTTGGCAGTCCTCCTGCCTCAGCTTCCTGAGCCACTGGGATTATAGGCATGTGCCACCACCCCCAGGAAATCAGATACTTTTAAAAGCTACTTTTTATTGAGTAACTAATGTATACCACATACTTTGCTAAGTGATTTAATGAGAAAATAATTCATCTGTCCATGGAGTAAACAGTTAAGTGGCACTTTACTTTGAATTCAACTATCTCTGACTCCAAAACCTGTAATCTTAACCTCCAGAAAGAAAATGTGAAAAAACAGAAATAAGTTTTTAGTAGGAAGCTGGGATTATGAGTGACTATTCTTTCAAAATTTTATGTAATGTTATTATATTGTTTTCATTATTTAAAAAGTCTTCTTCAGGGCTGGAGATGTGACTCAGTGGTAGACCATTTGCTTGACATGTGTGATCCCCAGCAAAAAATAAATAAAAAATTACTATTTCAGAAACAGTGGGAAATTTGACAATTGCTAAAGATAAGTTCAAAATGATTAATTGGACAAGCATATGCCAGTGTCTTCCTTGGAATATTAATTACAAGGAGTGTTTCATGAAAATAGAGTTCTATAGAAAATTGTTTTGGAGAAGATGCATTCTATACTTTCCTTTTGGAAATTCACATTATAAATTAGCAAATTAGAAACTTAAGTATGCTCTGCAGAAAAAGAAAAACATTAAATTCTGTTCAATGCATTTCTAAAAATCCTTTAGCCATAGAATAATTTTTGCCCCCAAGTAGCTATTAAAACACATTTTGAGAAGAACTGGGTTAGATCAGAAAAGTAAGGGAGAGATCAGTTTTCTAAAGGATAAATGAGCTAATGGATGCTAAGGAACTTTTCTGTTTTTCTTTGCTTTTGCACTATGGAAGTGGATAAAAAAAAAAAAAAAACTGTAAATACTGCAAGTATGAAAAGAACAGAGGACCAAAACGGCAGTTATAAGAAACTGCAAATCATTTTTTCTGTTGGCAGTCAATACTCTACCCTTACTTTATAAACTTGAACTTTGGGTCGCAGTTGATTTTCCCTCCCCTAACTATGTACACATGTACCCAAAGTCTGTCCGTGATGGTTAAGAGTATGGACTTGACATCAGGAACCTCAGGTTTAAATCTCATCTTCACTTCTAGGCAGTGTCTCATGGACAAAATGCTTGACTCTCTAAGTCTAGTTTCCTGAAAAAGCCTATAAAATGGGGATGGTGATAGGAGTTCCTACAGGGTTCTTTCTTTCAACAAATAGTTATAGAATAGTTACTGTTGCAGGAACTAGGAGACAGAACACAGAGCAAGCCTGACAGACAAAGCCCCTGCCTCCAAGTGGAGGCAGATGAAAACAAGAAAACAGCTATGCAAATGACCTTACTGTGATGTGCAGCCAAATCACACAGGACTGTCAGCGCAGGCTGCTGCCCCTGAGCGCAGGAGCAGGAGCCAAGAGCTCAGTGATACAGAGCTCAGGGAGAAAAGCAGAGGCCAAGGAGAAAATCCTAGAGGCAGGAATGGCTCAGAGTGGTTGGTGGGAAGTTGAAAGAGTGGCAGCAAGATCCCAAGCCTTGACACCAAGGGAGGAGCTGAGCTGCAGTGATTTTTTTTTTTTAATTAACGCATAATACTTGTACACATTTGTGAGATACAGTGTGATGTTTCAAGATGTGTGTGCAATRTGTATCGATCAAATCAGGGTAATTAGCATTTCCATCTTCATATGATTTCCTTATTTTTGGAGACCTCAAGCTCATCTACTCAATTCCTTCATAAAATATATACCAGGTTTTTGTGAGCTACAGTCAGTCATTTGACACTGAACTTGTTCCTCCTAACAGGTGTTGCAGTACTCGCTATCTACCTTCCCTCTGTGGCCAGGTCCCCGCTTCCTTCCTAGCCTCCAGTAATCACTATTCTACTTTGATTTTGACATTTCTAGCTTCCACATGTGTCGGGCTTGTACCATTTAACATGACTTCCTTGAAGTCTGGAGAACACAGGGTATGGGAGAGGGTGAGGACTAAGAAGAAGATCCGGGGTTGAGGTCAGGAGAGGAACCAGGAGGAGGGGGACCCTGGTTCGTGAAGGCTGGGAAAAGCTTTGGTGTGGATGGCTTGTGGAAGGCCACTTCTAGCTCAGCAGAGGACAGGAGCTGAGTGGGAGAGGGGCAGAGAGCCCAGTAGTAGAGACTCCCAATAATTCAAACATAGATTTTTAGAGATCTACTGAAGTAACTTTTGCTTTTTCCTCTCTGGATTTTGACTTTATTATTTTTTTAACCAAATATTTCTACTATGAAAATAATCTGGCTTCAGTAAATTTGAAAAAAACAAAAAGAAAAAAAATCAATTGTCCAACCAAGTCAGGCATTGAGAATATCTTTGTGTGATTTCCCTTTTCTAAGCTTTTATTTAACATTTGTAGAAACCATACTACACCTACAATTTTATGTCCTGTTTTTATAAGCATGGCATCATATGAATTTTTTCACATTATTATATATTTGGAAAAAAGTGGGGTTTTCTTCTTCTTTTTTTGGTACCAGAGATTGAACCCAAGGGCGCTTGACTACTGAGCCATATT